AATCTGTGCTATGTTCAGTATTACTATCACATTATTTAAATATTTTCAATTAAAAAAAACTAAAATATAAGAGGTCTTACCTTGAGAAATTCCTTTTTGTCCACCTGCTCATTGCCGTCAACATCAAGCATTTTGAAAGCAATATGAAATCCTATGTGTGGCTCTGAAACAGAAATGCAGTCAATAATCTGAACTCAGTCTGAATATTATCACAGGAATCAATGCACTTAGTAGGGCAGAGTAGCATTTCTCAACACAACCTGGAGGACAGTGTTGAGAAATAAAAAATTAAATCAGGTTACCGACTCACTGAAATGTGCAAGAAAATGCAGAGTCACAATAAGTCAGGCAAATCAATTCAGCACAGTATGAATGAGAGTAGGAGGCTACTTACTGGTCAGGATGGTCAGCAGGAACAGATACTCTGTGTAGGATATCAAACCTGCAAGAGACAAAGAAATGTACGCTGAATTATATTTAGGAAATAAAATAACCAATAAATATAAGGACGGAATTTGAAAACAAATACTAACATACAGATGTGAATTGTTCTCGTTTCAAAAGGCCCTATTGTGCTTTTTGGGGGTTCCCTTTCCTGTAGTGTGTTTTATAGGTTTAAGTTCCCTCCAGAGGGAGTTTCTCCCCCCCTCCTTCTATTGTCTAGCGCTCGAAGGCTAAGGGGAGGGACATCTCTTAGTGATTGACCTATCACAACAGAGCCGGCCAGCTAACCAATCAGAGCAGACTGGGCTCTGGTTTCAGACAGAGGGTGAAAAGAGGTGCTGCAGCACAGGCAGTATGAGAGAAATAAAGAGCTTTTGAACATTAAAGCATGGAGACATGTAGAGACACTACATACTGATATGAACCTGAGAATGAGAAGATAGGGCCTGTTTAAAGTTTAGAACTTACCATCGTCTCCTATTGTTCTGAACAGTTCATTACCGGCCAGAGCTTTAGAGGCAGTGGCCAACATGTGGTTAACCTCCTGCAATAAGAAACAGATGACAACACAAACTGATGATCTTCAAGTGCTACTAACTGTAGCTGACTCATTTACAAAATGTGAAGATGTTAACATACCTGTGTGGTTAAACTTTTCTTCTGCAGCTTTCCTACAGGAGAAGAAACCAAGTTTTGTTAATAAAACAACCAAAAACTTAACAGGGAACAGTGTAGGGCCTTAAATGTGTTTTTGTAAATGTATCCTGCATTTTTCGAGGGTTAATACCCAAGTGTTGCACTCAATATTTCCAATGATAGCACATATCATCCTGTGTTAACTGTCAGCAGATGATGAATATCAATAAGCTTACGGTCCACATTCTCCAGCATCACAGAGAACAGGAAGTCTCTAGGGGTCATGTAGGGCTCCTGCTCGTACACCACTGAGGCGAACTGGATGAACCGAACCTTCCTGGCTGACAGAGCTGGAGCTGCTACTTCCTGAAACACAGGTATCAGAGAGCACTGTGATAATAAAGCAACATTAAGTGTGTGTGTGTGTGTGTGTGTGTGTGTGTGTGGTGTGTGTGTGTGTGTGTGTGTGTGTGTGTGTGTGTGTGTGTGTGTGTGTGTGCGTGTGTGCGTGTGTGACAGCTGGGGGGCGTCAACATTAGCTGTTGATATAAGTGTACCTAGTATTACGCACTTACAGTACATATTAATATAGGTGTCTGGGTAACTTATCTTTAGCAGCTTAATATTCGACCAGACAGAAACACGACGGATGGGTTTGTTCGACGACACAAACTTTAGTTAGACTTTGGTTAACTTTTATTAGGCGTGAACTCACTTTCGGTGCCTCGGCATGGACAGCAAAGTGCAGAGTCCTGTTAGGAAGATATTGGTAATAACAGATAAGCCCGGTACCGAGAACTGAGCCCACTATAGCGGGTCCGACAGCACGGTGCCGTGCTACAGCTCTCAGAGACCGAGGATTCCTCACTGCGTTCCTGAAGACGGAGACGAGCCTCCCGAGGGCAGCCATGTTCAGGAAGGGAGCTGCTACTAAGCCACGCCCACATAGGAAGATAACTCAATGATCACGTGACACGTCACCTCCGTCCCGGCATCTCCAAAATGTTCCGAATCCGAATAAATAAATGAAGAGACAAATAAAAAAATACTGTCCACATCTATGCACCTAATTGTAATTGTTAAGATCCCCTTCAGTAATGTTTTGGACAGCAAAATACTCTGCTTCAAATACTAATTTGAGTAAGGCTAATAACTTCAACCTTAAACATTAGCCTACCTAAAGAAATCTTTAAATTACATAATAGGCTAGCTAGGCCTACCCCTCCTTCCTTATTCAAATATAAAGATAATGTTTAATTTCTCCAAATTGCCCTGTGCATCTTAACAGTAGCTACTGAAGTGTAAATGTAGCTTTGGATAAAAGCGTCAGCTAAATAACATGCAATAGTAATAAGGTCCAAAGTTAAGCTGCTGGACACAACATATTTTCTTCCATTCTCAGTTGGCCATTTATCAGACCTGCAGGCCTTAAACTGTGTGTGAAGTCTCTTAATACTGCTAGTCCAGGTGATGAACTGAGATACAAGGTGAGGGCAGACCTTAGTGTCAAACTCACTCTTTGTATTATAAAAAAGAAAAACACCAACCAATGGGAATAAATGTTTATTGTACTGAAGAAGACAACAATCTACTTCCAGGTATAGAATGGCCATCGGAAACAAACCATCATCTTGAGCTACAGGATCCATGGTTACAGCTCCTACACGAGTCTTAAGAAACAACGGCGCCTCTGTCCTGTTTCCCCTGCACCAGGACCTTCTGTCTCAGAAGACAGGCAGCACCATGGACCATCCCACAACTTCAGTCATGAAGCATTGGGAGGAGAGCAGAAGAGTCAACAATGACAGGTAATGCCACAGAAGAGGTGATGTTCTCATAATTAACCTAATAACAGTTGAAATAAGAATAATTTTTGGAGGTGGATTTTGGGTTTTCTTCTGTAATTGATGGAAATACATATTAATCCACAACTGACTTTTGGGATTAGATAAACAGTTTGGATCCTGTTTATTTCTCTGCAGTGTTAGACAATGGATCATACAATCTTCTTTGGAATTATTCACTGCTAAAATGATCATGTGTATTATGTTCCATAATCCATATTCCATTCGAATGTGTAATATTTCATTTCAGACTCCTTAAATACAAGTTAAATATTATTGTCACTACAGTTTAGTGACAGAGCATGATGCAAAGTGTAATTGTGGATTCCACTTTTAATCTGGGCCAGCATTTATTTGTCACAGAAGGAAATCATTCCTATTGACCCAAGTTTCACAGACATATGCATAATACATTAATGTTTAAAAGTACCGTCAAAGCCTTTTTAACCACATTCCTTAAACAAGCAGAGAAAATATAATATTTCCCTCATGATTAGACAATTAAATCACAATATGTGGCCATGATACAAACCTAGAGAGTCAGTGGAACTGGACTGATTTTATGAGACAATACCATATTTCTTATTTCCACAGACAAATATTGGCAGATTTTATTCAATTCAATAAACACATCATAATTTAAATGTACATTCTGAAAACATACATCAAGTTGTGCACATTTTGTGAAATACTGAATGTATGTTTTTGTGTTCTATTGTATAACAGACCCTGCACCAATACTGTCTGTGCATTGGGCTTTACTTAAGTGCAGAACAAAGTTTACACGTACCTTTATTTTGACCGAGATGAGTTACTCATTCATGTCTAATAACATTTTATTTAAACTGCACTTGTAATTTAAAGGACAATTAGAATGTTCATTGGTAGATATATTAAAGCAAAATATACATTTGTGTTGTATTATTGGCAGTATGCTGCATATTCTGCTCAATGTTTGCATTGTACCCTTGTACAAGTTATTGTTTGACCAGAAGGAAGCAGGACGGATCCGAGGCACACACAGTTCGGAAAACAATGATTCAGTTGTGTAGTGGTGTCCATATGAAGGCTAGTTTAGCTGTATTTCCAGAGGGCACCTACAGTATGTGAACACACACTTCAGATTTTTTCTAAATAGCATATTTTCATAATTGTATTTACATTTAGATTATTGGTTGAGTGTGTTAACATATCAATGTCATGTCTACATACGGTACTTTACTGTATGTAGTGTGATAAAGTAATGAGTCCTAAAAAACATAAATAAATTAGCATTTTACCACTTCCGGTTCCCTTCCTGAATTCAATGGTTTTTTAACGTGTTTTTGGTAAGATCCTTCTGAAATAAGGTTAATAAGAGTTTACGATACTTTCACATTTTTTCTACGACATAAAAAAAGTCAGTTAATACCCCACTGGTGAATGTCTTAAGCTTTATGTCATAAAACCTTTAGCTTAGCATTGGTGATGTGCAGCCATGACTGTGATGTAGTTTGTTTATAGCCTACATTATTTTTTACATCTGGCGATTGCATTTAAGCTTCCAAAATCATAAAGTGGTGTTAATATGTGCTGAATATTTTGCTGAACAAAACATGGAAGTATCATAAACGTGCATATACCAGACATCCTATCTCTGTAAAATCAAAAATTCGAAACGGAAAAATCCCATTGCTTTTCGTTGAAGGAGCTCTTGAGATGCTAGCCTCCGGGTCGGCCTTTATTAATAGGTCATGAATGCACCACTATTATATCTTGCCTATGACCTCCAACATTCGTTCCATAAGGTTGGAAGAACAAAGGCTTTAGCGTAGTGTAAGGAGCTGATCACGTGGGCCTACAGTCAATGCTAATCTCTCTTGCTACCTTGTGGTGATAACGTTCGATGGCCTTTTCTGCTTCACAGATGATAAAAAGTGGTGGTAAAAGTCGATTATCAGTTTTTAAGAATGTGCAATTGAGTTAAAAACCCTTCAGCTTGTAGTTGAAACCAACGTGAGGAGCAAACTGTTTCCGTTAGCTCTGTGTCTGACCGGCATGTGTGTCCACATCAATTGCACGTCAAGTTTGCATCAGCAGGTTTGGAGATTTATTTAATGTCATAGCAGCAAGTTGTAATGTAAAGTAACAACGACATACACACTTGTAAAACCATCAATGAAGGATACAAAGTTTGCACACATTTTTTTTCTTCAGTCACGGTTTATGCTGCCTACTTAATTTCGACTGTTATTTTAATAACATAGTGGAAAAAGACCCTCATGGGTTTCATTAAAGTGATGGTAAGCGAACACTTACAACGCACATGGTGATGTGGGCTAAATATGCCATGAGCAATGAATCAGAACAATTACAGCCACACGAAAATACTATAGCTCCTATTTCAATGATAAAAAATATGTATTGCAAAGACAGGCTCGCTGTCCTTATTCATGATTCAATAACCAATAGCTTTTTTCCCTTCTGAACCACTGTTTCAGCAAACTGCATGACATGGCACTTATGTTAAAACAAGCAGTGACTGGCAAATGGAAATAACATTCACACCAAAACATAGCTTATATATTGTCGTTCAACTCATTTGAAGGCTGCAGTAATACAGATACAGCACACTACAATCCTCAAGTCAGTGAATTCAAATACTGCTGCATCTGAGATATACTTTTGGAGTTTTTATAGAAAGGAAGACCGTGAAGAAGTCTTTTTTGTACACATTTGAGGTGCAGTTTGATAGAATGGAAAATACATTGAAGAAAGTCACAGCTGCTGTGTGTTTCCTCCTATGTCTTTAATATGAGTACACTGTGTCAAAATGGCTACATTTTACTGACATTAATGATACTTTAATTGTTTTTGTATATGTAAAAAATAATTGGCATACATGAGAAATAATAAGTGGACTAATGCCCGTTCATCTCTGCGATCACAGCATACTGTACTTTTTCTGAACTGCCCAGCTGTTTCTCATGTCTGTAACATATAACCTAATCACACCTCTCACACCCTCTAATCATTAGTACACATTCTTATTGGGGCAACTCCTGAATCTGATATGAATAAATATAGGCATATAAAAATACAACAAGCATACCTACAGTATGTCCTGCTGCTCTTCCCTGGTAAAATGTGTGTCATACAACTAGATACTGGTGTACTTATATACACTATGATATTTAATAGTGGCTCCTAATTTGCATATTTTTCATTTAAATGTCATAATATATTTGAGTGATGATTGTTTTTATTTGTGGATTAATACAAATGTTTTAATTTTACCCATTTCAGTTCAGAGTATTGTTTTATTAGAGCACAGGATTTATTGGTATACATACAAAGATAGGTATATACAATTCATGACTCGAATCATGACAGTTTTACATTTAACTTGCCTTTGACGGAGAGATTCCAATCAGTTTGAACTTCAAATGAAAGACACAGGGTACAGAGAGGCTTAACTCTCAGCGAACAGCTTCAGGGTTTTACAATTTTGGCCACCACCAACTCTGTGGTGATTGAACATTTCACAGCTGAATTCAGTACATTCTGTGGAAAAGAAATCGCAGTAATACAGTACAAACAGCAGAGGGGCCATTTGGCTTCTTAATTCATGTTACAGATCAAGGAGTAGTCACTTCTCTGGTCTATCCCCTCAAGAAACAACCATTTTTCTTCTCATGCTTATTGTGGTTAGAAGACAAACATATTTTGTCAAACTCACCTCTGGATTTTCAGAAGTAGATAGTGACAGACAAATACATTTTCCTCCAGCCACATTACATTATTGCAATTTCAATACTGCCCAACTTATTTCAAGAACATAAAAATAAAGGCAAGTTTGACAGTGCACTAATAGACTTTTTCATGCAATGTTCAGATTTTTGTCATGTATACAAAAGCATTGTGTCACATAGGCTTAGTATTACTTTGAGCATTGCCACTTTGAACACACCTTGGATTAGAATTTGATGGAAAGCTCTTTTCTTGACATGGATCATTGTGGACAAACAATAACAATAATAATAATAATAAAAATAATAAACAAAAGCTGAAAATAAATGGTAGAACTGTGTATTAATTGACACCAATGAAGTCAGGTGGGTAACACCAGCATTCCATTATATTAACATGATTCAAAGCTAGCAATGTGATGGGATTAAATGTCTTTATGATTAGTATACAGATGTGTCAAGTGTCTAAGGTGCACAACTGCATGGGGTAAGCTTACGTTTATGTGACAAATCATGGAGTTCACATTTGCAATTATTTCTTGTTTCCTTTTCCCTTTTAAAAAAAAGTATATTGCTTCAAAAAACTTGTTTTTCTTTTTTGATATTGTGAAACATATCATTCACCACTTCTCGGGGTTTGTCTAGCTAGACAGAGCATTACATTATCAGTCAAAGATACATACAGAAAGATGCTGTGAATCCGAGAGATTAAACAATCAACGATGGGACGTGACAGTGACTTATACTTGGGACCACTTGTTGAAGTCTGTCTGTCTGTCTGTCTGGGCCGACCTGCTATCTACCAGCAGGTGGCACAATGCAAGCACTGATGTATTGCCTGGGTGAAGGGGAGGGGCTTAGAGATTAGTCTGTCACAGTAAAAATAGTCAGTTCAAGGACCCGGTGTGTTCCGCTCTGTGACTGAGGATCAGCAAACCTAGCTGCACATGCTCTCCATCCATCCCTCACACCCACCGCCTCCCACGCATCTCGTCAGTGAATAATGTTAAAACATAAAGGGGCTCCTCATTTGCTCTTTCCAGAAGTGCTGGAGCCCCCTGCCCCTCCCTCCATTTTGTCGGCGATTTCTGACGTGTCTAACTTCTCAGAGCCGTCCCCTTTCTCTGACCTCTCCTTCTCAGACCGCTCCTCCCCCTCGGCCAGCTCCGACCTCTCTGACCTGGCGTCGGCGTCCCCCTCCGACTTCTCCTTCCTCTCCGAGTGGTCGGGTTCCATGGACGAGGTTCCCGGCTTGTCCCACTTGCCCAGTTCCTCGTATTCAGATATACAGGTGGTGATGTTTGAAGTCCAAGCCTTCATGTCCTCCTTTAGAGAGCAGCAAATGACACACATTTTTATTATGTAATCATTCTCACTTCTGGTTATCATTTTATGTTTTGGGATTCACAAAGTGTCATCAATACAGATCAACGTTTTTATACATCATCGGGTTGAGTATCTTGCCCAAGGACACTGACATGTTGTCCACTGACCTTCGATTGGTGGACAACCACTCTACCCAATAACCCACAGCCACCGCCATGTGGTGTGCGATCGCAGGTTTTAATTGGTAGGGAAAGAACGGAGCTTGTTGTAGCTTTAGAAAATGCTATGACTAGTTCCCAAGGCCGGATTAGTGACAAATATTTTACATTTTCATTCAATCTGGCATGTCAATAGCACACCTATTTGTCAAAAGCAGGGACGCAGCTACATAGTTCAACCAAAGTATAGGTCTAGCCTTTTGCCCTTTCAGTCAAAAATTACAAGACAAGGATACAATAAGAACTCAAGACAGTGTATGGCTCAAGAAGACCTAGGTAATACGCCACGCGTAGTAATAAAGTTGAGCGCATACATAGTGAGACCTACACATAGACGGTTTAGAAAATATATTAATTTCACCCTATAGAAAAGCCGAGTTATTTATTGCGGCGGAGAGTGAGTTTCATTTAAAACAATGTATGATGAGTGAGGTTTTTTTTCTCTTGTCACTGAGGGCCCTCTCTTGCTCAAGGGCCCCTGGGCACGTGCCCAGTGTGCCCATATGGTTAATCCGGCCTTGCTAGTTCCTAACCACATTGAGGACAACAGGTTCCATATACGGGTTATAAAGAGAAAATGTTCCCTGATATTTGAAAGAAAATGACAGTATGCTGCAAATTCTGCTCATATTTTGAGACATTTTTGTATTCCTATAGAGAATTAAAAAAAAAAGGAAATTAAAAAGAGACAAACTAAAGCAATGTCTGATATGTATTTGCATAAGGTAAAGATCACAGTGTGAGGAGACTGAACATCATGTTTTTGGTTGAGTTTTTTTCCAGTATTTTGGTGCAATGGAAGTATGTCAATGAATTCTGCTTCAATTGGTTTGTTCTAAATCCAATTTTACACGCAGGTTTTTGTTGGGTAACAATAACCCTTCAACAGATAAGACGTCGATCATTTATATGTTGTTATTGTCAGCAAATCTGTCTGTTTATAACACTTCCTAAAAGTGGCCGACTCAGGCTTTCTGAGGGTCGGCAGATCACCAGCCACACAAGCGGAGATGGAGAGGAAAAGGTTTTCTGGCATGTAGGACACCTTTGCGAGCACAGCATCACGTTATATTAAACCCAGCATGGCTAAAGCAGGCAGTTGTGTCTGCCTCCGTCAGATGCTAACTTGTAAATGCTAACGAGACTATTCTAGCAAATATTCACAGCTATCTTTACTTTCTTTACTCATCCATCTAGGACACGGTCAAGATATTAGACTTTTATACATTTGTGTCATAGCAAATGGACCTTTTGTATGTCTAAACAGCGCTCCGGTTGTTTCTGCTTCTCTCCCGGGGGACACGTTAAAGGATATGTTAGGGGTGAAACAAATATCTCAACTTGATCATTTGTAAGAAGCTGATGTTCTCATGACAGTACATCATTTTTTAACTCAGCGATTACGCCAGCAAGATACTGAAACTCAGTAAATAAGGCATTATATTCCAATCAAATGTCCCTGATTTAAAGTAATTTAGGTTTAACCAGTTTAACTTTATTTAGTAATGAGGAAGAAACAAGAATTCTGTTTCTTCTGTTGGCGCCTGAAACGCAAAGACAGTACCTCACATTGGCTTCCTTTATCAGACCTGGAGGTTCTGAGGTTGTTATTTATTAACCGGTTTCATTTTGTGTTTTAATCAAATGTCACTCAGCAACATATTTAACTGTGACACAGCATTTTATTTCAATGTAGATTTGTATGCACCTCTGTCAATATATACTTTTCTGTTAAAAAGGCCAATAAGCATTAGGAATAATACATAAGCTACAGCGTGTGTGTTCATGGTGATAAAGGAACATGACACAGAGTGCAACAGTGTGGCTCACTGACAAAGGAGCTCTATGGCACCAATCATTAAGATACATCTGGCTTTGGTTTGGATACATACATCATTCTTGTTATTTTAATACATACATGGTTTTGGTCTTTTCATTGGACTTCAACAAGATCACCAGACTCACTCTAACTTTACTGAACACATGTAAACAACCTTTATGTTAGGTATATTCCTTGATGTGTAGTTATCTCCTGTTGGCTCCTTATGGCTCTCTTATGTGGAAAACATAAGGTCTATATTAAGAGACTAAACTGCATGATGTCCTGGTGTCTGCCCCTTTTAAACATGACTCAAATACAAATGTTCTTACCTCGTCTTTTGCATGGAATGCAAAGTTGTTACCATCAGCCATTCTGCAGGAAAAATGAACAGGGATTATCACTTTCTCATTCACTGAAATAATTGTTTTAAGGTTGAATAATACAAATAGTAATAATATTGTAAAGTTGTAAATATTCTGTGCTTTGATTTTAACATTTGAAATGTAATATCATGATTTGTGTCACAATAACTTACTGTAGAATGAAGACATTTTTCTTCTTCTTGTATCCCATAGAAGGATCAAAGGTGCAGTTAGCCAGCTCCACAGGAGGCTCCTCGTTGTATGTCGTAGTCAGGTGCCTAGCATCCTTGTAGAAAAGCAGCTGTCCCTCTTTCAACACACAGTACACGTTCAGCCAGGATTTGCTGTGAAATGACGATGACACATGTAACAGATATTAACAGATTACGATTGAATACATGTTCAGACATGATTTGGGCCAGTGGAAAGATTGACAAACAGAGTAACACAATGTACAGGTTATTACAGAAGTACACTTTCCTTCACATTTTCCAAACACAATGATAGTGGGAGCAAAATTATCATTGAAATTCCCAGGCCTTTTTAAAAAGTTGTCAAGACGCCAGACAAAGCAGGCTTCTTTTGTATAGCAGACGACTGATCATTAGTCGGTTTGAATGTCCGCTGTTGTTGGCAGATTAGCATAAACTACTTCCAACCGAGCTGCTCTCCAGCTAACTTTTTAAGGTTTCCAGCTGACTCATTTAAAATGATCATCTTGTAAAAGGGGTCTTAATACAATTCAATAATCCCACAAGTTAATGATTAGAAGATATCAAGATGTTGCAGTGTAGTTTTAATTCAATAAAAAACAGTGTATGTCTTAGTTGTGACCAGCTTTTCTTTAACATAGCATTACTCCACAAATTACTCTAGATAGTTCATAATGCCCTCCATTGCCTGGAAGTAAAGCTCGGTGACTGTAGGCTGTAAACTGTAAACTGGACATGCTAACATTCAAATCACATGTTTATGCAAGTACATTTCTTATCTTCCTTACACTTGGGTAGACAGATCTCCAGACTCCATGAAATATCTACGTCTGATTGGTCTTGACATTGGTTATACCTGTTTGGGCTTCTCTGCTGAGCTTCAAGGTCAGATGATGTGGCCTTTTTGCGGTAGAGGAAGCCTTCGTTGTGGGCAGTGTGTGAAGGCGGCTGAGGTGTGGTTGGGGCCCCAGTAGCTGGAGCTGAGCGAGAACGCCGTGTCTCCTCAGGCTCTTTGGGACGAGGCCTCCTCCTCGGTTTGGGGCGGTCTCGGGCCCGAGGACGTCCATCAAAACGAGTCACCGGTGCTGAGAGGCTGCTTGCAGGGCGATAAGAATCTCCTCGTGCCTGAGGAATGAAAAAGAAGAGAATGTCATATCAAGAAAAAAATAAAAACGAGCAACACTGTTTTGATGTACCGTGCAAGCTTACTCACAGATGCTGCCTCTCTCTCCTGGACTTGTTCAACAATCTCTGCCATGGTATTTCTCTTATCCCTGGAGTTACAACAGAAACGTGTCACCCAAACACAAGCATCATGTGACACTACAAATCTTTAGGGTCATGCCACACAGTGTTGACTATGCAAATGTCTTAAGATCATCTGACTTTAACTCACCACACTGAAAAAACGGAAACGTTGACTTTAATTAAAGTCAGTGTTGCAGTTTTTTCAGTGTAGCATGGCTCATTCACATACCCTGAGCGTTTGTCAGAACCGTCCTTAACAGAGCCCTCCAGGTCACTCGAGTCCTGCCTCTGGAGCCTCTGCTTGCCGCTGCCCTCCTGCTCGCTCGACGACTGCCTCTCCAGGCGCCTCCGGTAGCGCTCCTGACGCACAATCAGCGGCAGCTCGTTCAGCCTAGCCTGGATCTCTTGTTCGCTGGAGGTCTGTCTACCCAACTTGTACTCCCTCTCTCGCCTCAGGTGGTCCATCTGAGGATCTGAGCGGCTGCCACGGGGATCCCTCTGGAGGCGGCCGTGGAGGAGCTCCAGCCCCGACTCTGGCCCCACCATGTCGGCCATTGGGATGTCCCCAAACTGTTCCCGCTGCGCCCTGCTGGCCTCTAGGAGGGGGTTTACAGCCTTGTGGATGTGGTTGATCCTGGGCTGCATGAAGTCAGCTTTCAGATGCTGCCATGCATATGCCATTTTAGGGTCCATGATGCCACCACTTTGCGCCAGGTAACTAGAACTGCCCAGACTTCCACTGCTGTAATTATTTTGTGCCAGAAAGCCTGAGCTACCCAATCCCCCACTGCTCTGGTAATTCTGCGCTAAGTATCCAGAACTCACCATATTAGGCTGTTGTGCTAAATACCCAGAACTCCCCATGTTAGGCTGTTGTGCCAAATACCCAGTGCTCCCCAAATTAGGCGGTTGTGCCAAATACCCAGAACTACCCATATTAGGCTGCTGCGCCAAATATCCCGTACTTCCTAAATTAGGCTGTGGTGCCAAATATCCTGTACTTCCTAAATTAGGCTGTTGTGCCAAATATCCTGTACTCCCTAGATTAGGCTGATGTCCCAAGTATCCAGAACTTCCCATATTTGGTGATTGAGCCAAATATCCAGAACTGCCCATATTCTGTTGAGGCAGATAGCCAGGGCTTCCCATACCCCCACTGCTTGGCTGCTGAGCTATGTTACCTGCATTTCCCAACCTCCCGCTGCCTAGATGGTTTGGCGTACCACCGACACACCCAGTAGTCAGTCCGTAGTATCCAGAGCTTTCCGCACTGCCAGCAGTTGGTAGATGGTTTATCCCAAGGTAAGTATCTGCTCCAGGATTCTGGGAAGTCAGTGCTGTGAAAGCGGATTCACTTCCACCTCCCGGCACCTGGTGGTTCATTCCAAGGTATGAGGAGCTTGCCAACTTCCCACTGCCCTGCTGTTCCAGTCCATGGTAGCCTGATCCATTTATAACTGGCTTGTAACTAGCTAGGGTTGAGGACAATCTCTGTGTCGCAGGGGAGGCTCCCAGATCCAGACTGGTCTGTAAGGGTTTGGGTTCTACATGAACATGTACCGTCTGCCTCAAGAAAGATGAGGTAGCACTGATTGAGGGAACACTGGGAGTCAGACATGATATTGGGAACATCCTTCGGCTGGAGAGCGGGGTTGCCTTTTTCTCCTCCTCTTTTTTCTTCTCAGCCTAAAGAGAGAGTTAACTAAATAACTAATAGCTCTCCATAAATCCAATTCAAACTCAGACATCAAAGGTTGATGGTCCAACAAAATGGGGGTACAAAAGGTTATCAGGAATGATTTGCTCAATTAAGAACAGTGTTATATTAGCTACTTAGCAATGTAGCATGATAAGCAGATGGGGTGCAGAGAACACAGTAAACCACATGCAGTCAACGTCCTGAGACAGATTTAAGCCCATAACGATGCATGCGCCCCATGCCTGCTAAAGCAAACATAAGATCCCAAGGTCACATGTTCTCCCCTGTAGCAGCATTAAATAGTGACTACACCAAACTGATTAAACATTTATCTACAGTCAAGCTTACTGCGGAAAGCTGGCGGAGAGAGCTGAAGCGTTCTTTCCAGGTGACAGCAGCCTTGCGGAAGGCCTCGTGGCGAAGGATGAGTTGCTCAACCTCGTCTGTTTGGGTCCGGGCTCCTCCTCCCTCTGGCTCCTTGGAGGTGATCAGCGGCTCCTTGGCCTTCAGCCAGGCTTCTGCCTTCACCGTCTCCTGGGCGAACTGGAAATGTTCCTGCCCTGGAGTTGACAGCAGATCAACTGCATGGTTACCACAACACCACCGCACACTCCAGTAGAAATCGTTTGCGCCACCATAGCAGATGTTTATATTACTATTAGTCATGTAATGTTTGCAAGAACAATATTCTTCATACATTTTTCATGGAAAAAAGGACAAGGTAGAAAAACGTCTATAGTTAGAGCCATATAATATAAGTGGTTTGTTAAGAGCTGCTTCCGCTCTGATGTACTTGTAGTGAGTTACTCACTGCGCAGTAACTTCTCCTGGTGTTTGTCCCATTTTTCAATAAGATCCCTCTGCTTAGCCAGAAGACTGTCCAGCTTCTCTTGTATCTGTGGTGACAGACAGATTGCAGTCATTACCTCAGCAACATATTCCTGCATCCTAATCAAGTCATTTTATGGGTTTAATGTGTTCTTTGTGTTGTGCTGTTTGTCAGCCTGACCTCCTCTGATGCAGGGTTGCCTGCAGCTATGAGGATCTTGCCCAGATCTGCACACTGCTGTATGGTCTTGCTGCGGCCGTCTACTTTGGCTTTCAGCTCCTGATGTTGTCTCATCATCACCTCGAGAGCCGTCAGATCTCTGAGGACGGATAGAACAGATACATAAGGATAAATGAAGAAAATATAACTATCATGGGGTGTGTAGTCCACCAAAGAAACTCTTGGTTGTGTGAAATTCTGTCGACTCTTCAACCAATCCACTTATTGATGGGAGAATAATAATGTATAAAATACTCTCAGTGATGGTAAGTGAAACCAAGCCACCTGTTCCAAAGAAATAGGCATTACACAAAATGGGTCAATACAATACAAATGTACAGTTGTTAAAGAAGCCTATTACTATAACAGCAGGGCATGAATATATTTAACATTCTAACAAAATCCCAAAGCATATTCCAGTTCAAATTGTAAGCCTTCTGACTTCAGTGTTTTTATGTTATATGTGTTTTTTTTTCAAATTCAATCAATATCAAGGAATCCTGAAAAACCTACAGAGTGTAAAATGTGAACTGTAAGCAGTATACCAGTAGACATACTGTAGTACAGTACTTGTGGTAAAATGATGAATGAGGCTGAATAATAATGACTTTGTCGACCCTGCCTTTTCTCTGGAGCCAGCAGCAGAACCAGCTCTCACCATCCTCTCACAACACTATGAAATGCTCCCATGTACACAACAGGATACATCCTTCTGGTATAGGTGGCCATAGATGTAGCCAACAACGCTCTTTGACAATAATTATCTTCATTTTACCATCACATTTCATAACAATGATAATAACAGCCTCCATATGTTTTTGAGCATTTCTCCTTTATCTCTGATATTGGAGAGACATGGACAGGAAGTCTGGGTAGAGATAACTGTGGATGACATGCAACACAGGCTGGATTTCCAACCTGAGACGGTTTGCTTACATTATATGTATTAGATCCATGTTGCAGTGATGTTATTTTCTTTGGCCAGACAATTGATGGACATAAATGTTGATATTTAATTAACAAAGTCAATAGTTATTAAGCAAAAACAAACAGACATTAGCTTGTTCCAGCTTCACAAAGGCGAGTGAAGTTTATTGTAAAAAGAACAACTTAATAACTAACTAAACAGAGATATAATCTGAAAACGTATCAATGGGAGAATATTGTTCATAACATGGGTTGGTTAAGGGATTGTAAAAGCAAATGGGTAGAATATAATCATAGATATATTTGGACCTCAGTGAGACGTCAAAGGCCTGGTCTTATTCAAAGCAAAGAGTGCTGAAAATGTAATAGCTCTATGGGTAATGTTCTACTCCTCAAGTGGGACTGTACCCCACTTTGGACACGAGTGGTTTCTGCAATTGAGTAGTGATTGGATCAGCTGTTTCTGCCCAGCTGGACTTACAAAGGCCAGCATCTTGGTGAGCTCTCACAGGCTCTCCTTTTGGATCCACTTTCAGAGTAAGGAACTGGAAAATGTAAGCACACCTTGAAACAACTTGTTGTGGGTTAGGAGTCAACTGGAAACTAACTGAAATGTGGGTAGCTTCCTTAAATGTTTTTATGAAGGGGATCATTAGATAGTAATTTGTAGAAAACATTAATGTATGACAAGTGACATGTGTGACAGGTGATTTGTGGAATATTGTCTCAATTAAGCTAAAAATTACAATTTCCTAAAGCCGGGGGTTACGTCTTCAAATGTTGTCTTTGTCAAACTATCAAGCCAAACCCAAAGACATTCAGTTGGCAATCACATAACACACATTCTGAAGCAGAACATCTTCACAACGAGAAACTGGAACAAGAGAATGTCAGTCATGTTTGCTTTAAAAATGAAATGATTAACCAATTTTTGTCTAATCTATTATTCGCCAAACATTAAAGAAAATGTGACACAAATTGTAATTGGACCCCTTTAAAAGACAGGCACATGCAATCTTTATCAGTGGCACAGTGAGAATGTCAATGCATATGGTGATATACATAAACAGCTGCTAATATTTGGATTACACTATACAGCAGTAGTGATAACTGTGTCAAATGTATAGCCCTCAAACACATAATAATAATACCAGATGTCATCTGAAAATCAGGTCAAGGTGGCACAGCAGCCCAATTCCACACTGCACGGAAATGAATTCTCTCTATAGGGACTGCACAAAACCACAGGGACCTCCAGCTAACTGAACCACAGAATGCAGCTCCTCAGCCAGCACAACACACTGTATACAATGGGTTTAATGCACAGCTCAACACAGAAGAGTAAGCAGGTGTGCAGCAGGAGTCTTACCTGGGCTCATCCCATATAATCTGGCCCATGATGCCTTCCATCCACATGAGGTTTTCACGCACCACGGAGAAGAACTGCACCTTGTCTGTGACTGAGGTGACCTGCACACGGCTGGCCTCACAGGAGCTCAGCAGCTCCTTCCAGGCCTCCATCACTTCCAGCTCTTTGACCATGATGGCCTCCGCCTTTTCCCCAGCGTAGATGGTCCTCAGCTGGGCCGCGTTCTCCTGCAGCTGCCTCACCTGCAGAGAAAGGATGAAGAGGCGTCATTACAGGAGAAAAGAGTCAGTGTAGAAGAGAGCTTGTAGAACTAAAATGATTTTATTAGTGTGTCTGATATTTTGTATTACTAGAGATGCTATCTCATCTACTTTTATAATGCTTTTACCTATTTATATTTAATCTTTTTTACCAGGGATGTGTACTTATTTGATTTGATTTATAATAGCTCATGTCCATCTGCAGTCTCTGGGCAGGTACACACATAACAATCAACAAACACTTAAAACATTACTAAAAAATCAAACTACGATGAAACAAATGTTGGCAGGACTGGTCGCTCACGATCCATTTGTTTTGCGCCATGGGAAATAGAGTGAACGTCTGTGCACATTTGAAGTTCAGCTGAATGATCTTGAATAGCAAGATGTTGTTGTATTTGGACAGTATATTGCAATGATGTTGATTTAATGATTTATTATTAAAAAGTTATAAGGAATCTCAATGTGTTTCAGCACTCTCTTACTTGCCTTGGACCAGCAGGTTATACAATATCAGATGATGTGATGGAATCATGAGGTACAAACATGTTTTCGATGCTTCTATTGCTAAACAATTCCTAAGATGTCTCAATTTGAAGATTTGATATGTCAGTTGTCGACTTGTGTTTTTGATATGGCTTTTGAAAGTCAAGTTGGTATCTCAATCACTCCTAAACATCTCCCCATGTTAACGTTTTTGATAATTTGTCCATTATCCTTAAACTGTGAATATCTTATTATTAGTCAAATGTAACGTGTGTATGCTTGACTCTATATTTAATATGTAAGCCTACGTTTTGTAGTTGCCTTTTTATGTCTGATTGCTGTAACAGTGTAAAAGTGGGGAAATGAAGGTTACAGGAACAGAGGATTTCTGGTCTGCCACCATCCCTTTGCTCATGAGCAGGAGTACACTGTGTGACGTATGGTGTCAGAACTCATCACTTGCCTGTGCAACCAGCAGTTGAAGGGCATGCTCAAAGGAGTGCATGAGCCTCTGCAGGGTGGCTGGATTGGTGATGTTGGCTTGGCACGCCCTCACCTCTGGCAGCTGCTTCATCTTCCCTGCGATCTGAGCCAAGACCTACAACACAGGACAGTGTCATTAGCACGAGCGCTTTAAAAATAGAAGCTGCATGTCACGGCCAGACTGTCTACCTCTGAAATGAAGAACACGGTACTCCTGATATTTGCTTTGACGGTACCTCTTTGCAGTCGGTGAAGAACTTGTGCAGCTGGTGCGAGGCGAGCAGCATCTGCCTGCGGGTCTCCATCAGCTCCAGCAGGTCGGCCCACGACTCGTTCAGCCCGTCCTTCCACTCGGCGATGGTGGCCGCGTCCGAGTGGCCGCAGTCGATCATCTCGTTCACCATTTTGTTGACATGCTCCATGCGCTGCTGCCCGATGCTGTTGGTTTCTGTGGCAAACTTGGTGAATCTCTCCTGAAGCACCTGGAACACACATAGAGCACAAACACTACAAACACACTGATACAATGCATTAACTGAGGAAAGAAAACCTCGGTTTGATATCATTGAATAGTCATTTGAATACATGATTCCTTATTTTAAAGACTAAATGATTAATGGTCTAATTAGGAGAGAGTTTCAGACCCAGTTTATTCAAAACAGAAACATGATCAAAATCATGAATACAAAAATATGTTCTACGTGTCTAACACTATACATTTTAGTGATAGTCTTTTTATTTTATTTGTATTGAACAGAATTGTGTATTGTTTTTATTCATTCTGTTTTTATTCATCCTCTCGCAACAAAATATATATTTCTGGTATAACTGGAGCAGCAGTCCTTTAACATATCTTTTTTGAATGTTGTTTTTTTATATATAAAAATATATATAAAAGAATATTTGTATTTTCTAACTAAATCAAATAATTTTAAGATATTTCTGTTCTTCATGTGTATTTTGTGTATTTTAAAATAAGGGAAACAAAATCTAGTCCGGTCTAAATAAACCTGATTTCGTTCTTTTTGTACATATGTTAAATTCAAAGCTTTTTAATAGCTGGTGAACAGGAACAGTGAGTTCTGACATGTTAAGAATATTTGTACTGTTTACTATAACTGCTTTTGCACTTGGTATTTCATTAAGTGTGAAAGGGTTAGGGTTATGATTAGGGTCAGATGTTCACTGTTCAGATGTGAGACATGTCAAATAGTTCTTGGTGTTCTAATAAATGAATCTTATCCTCAGTGTAATGTCTGCTGTGTTTGTTGTGGTGTAGTTGCTGGACTGACCGTGACGTCCTCCAGGTCGTGGCCCAGCTCGGTGGAACTGGCCACGGTCTCTCGCTCAGTGATCCACTTCTCCAGCTCCTCCACGTCCTTGTTGAGCTGATAGAGCCAGTACTGCTGCTCCAGCTTATTCTTCCTGTGCTCCACCATGTCCTTCAGAGACACGTACAGCCGGTCTATGTGCGACTGCTGCTTGGTGAGCTGCTCACTGAAGAACATTGAGAGAAAACAGAATGTTACAGATACCAACAAGAGGCGCTTTGACCATTTGACCCTAATGTTACCCAACCTATACAGTAGATATAACATGCAAATATTAAACTTTCCTCTTTTCCTGGGCTATAAGTGCTGCTTGGTGAGTGCACGTGAGACCCTGGGTCAGGCCACACCTTTCTGGGTGTCCCATTTCCATAAGAAGCTGGCATTGCTGGGTGAGCATGCCTACTGTCTCTGCATAATTTTCCACCGTTTGCTCCAGAGCCAGGTGGCCCTTCAGCAGCTGCAGGGTGCTCGCCTCGTCCTGAAAAATATCAAAAGGGTATCAGGATACAGGATTCACTTTCACATTTATGCCAACATGCACCTGTTTGACTGACGGGGCGGTCCGTACCGTTCCTTTTTCTTCATTGACCAGTTGGAGCTTCTGACCTGACAGCCAGGTCTCCACTTTAGCCGCGTCGCTGTAGTACTGCTGAGACAGCAGCATGGCGTCCAGCATCACACACCTCCTCTCGGCCTCCAGCTGCAAAACCTCCCACAGCTGGCGCACATGCCCCGCCCCTTCACGCACACACTCCACCTCAGGGGTCCTCAGCGAAGCGATGATCCCCGCCCGGTCCAGAACCTCCTCCACACGAGCCCGCCGCCCTGTCAGCTCCCTTTGAAGGGTCTGAAGGACCAATCACAGGTAAGTTCCCCGACTGAGAGGTCATATCAGCAGACCGTAACCATCATGTTTGACACTCACCTGGTTCTTCTTTACATGCTGCTGTACACTCTGGAGGTTATTCCCATAATCCTTACAGGAGGCCAAGGGAAGCCTCTCCTGGATCCACAGCTATCAAGTAAACACAGTCAGGACATTACATTACTTAAGAAAGCTCTGGAAAAAACACTGATGCATTGCATGATGCAATTAAGAAAGAAATTGAGCTATTTAAATATTCTACTTTAATATAATATACTAACACAGGAGGAATTCTAAAACAGAACTAAACACAGATTATAATATACACTGTTCAAATTGCACTTGTTCCAGCCCAAAACAGCCCACATTTCTCTCACTAAACAAAATAAGAACAAAAAAACTTAAGTTAATTAGATTTCAAACTAAATAGCGATAGTACTTTTTACTGTTTTGTATAAATGTTAAGTTATTTGCTGGTCTTTGGAATACAGTTAATCAGTTAATGTGAATGTTGAGAAATTCCTGATACCATCTTGGCATGTTTACTATGCCTGCACCACATTGTTAAAGCCTTATAACATCTACACTAACCAGTAGCAGCTTATCGTAACCATACAACATACAGTACTGCTATATATAAATAGATATCATTAATACCAATCAGCAGAATTGAACTCAGCCTATTGGTACAGCCTTCCACAACAGTCTCAGTTCCTCATTTGGGAAAATGAATCGCCCACACCTGGTGTAAATGGAAGAGGAAATATATGAAGTGTGCACTCACTATCTCATCCTCCAGGTCTTGGGCGACTTGATGCATCTCTTTGGAGGCCAGCAGGATGCGGCGTCTCTCCTTCAGCGGCTCGATGAGGCGGACGATGCGAGTCTCCACGACGCCTGACTGCTCGCCGGCCTCCCTGTCACCTGCCATCAGGCCTCGCTGGGGCAGGCAGACACCCTGCACGCTGCCCAGCTCTCCCACATCCTTGTAATAGTCCCCTATCTGAGACTCCATAGCCTGCAGCGGAGGGGAGGGGAAGGTCATGTTACAGCCAGCAGAGGGATGGACTAACACAGCACATCAGCTGTTTTCCTATCAGAACATTGCAGGCTTATGTATGGACTGCCTCCCTTTAAGGAAAAAGGCATATGTTGCATTTTTTATTCCACTGAACCTCATGTTTCAGAACACGCCACAATAGCAGCCTGTCACACATGTCAGAGCCATAGACTGTTTATATAAAGGTCAGAGCTGAGGAACATTACATAAACAACAGTGAGCTGAAGTATGCAGTCTGGCTCTGTCAGAAGCATTGGTTACATTCAGGCAGGTTAGAGAATTCTCATGGGCAAAGGTACTGTTGAGATATTATATCATCTTCAATAATCTTCTAACTGAGTCACTAGTCAGAGGATGTAGACAAAGGCTGTTGTATTCTTTTGGTTTGTTTTTAACTGAAGCCCAGGGGTGGAATGTAACTTAGTACTTTAAATGAAATACTAAACTTCAGTTTAATGTTGAAGCACTTCTATGTTGTGCTACTTTACTTCACCTTGGCGACCATGAATGTGAAACATATGATTCCATGTCCTATATCCACACCACCACCGCTAAGCTAAAGGCGGCTGACGTTCATCGTAATCATGTTACGTAGTATAGTATGGTAAAAGCCTTGCAATGTTAAACCCCTGATACAGTGAGTCCTTCTCTGCCCTACTTTAATTTGTTGCCTCATCTCCTGCAAGGCACTCATCAGGGGTGCTGAGGGTGTGTCCCGCCCGGGTAACCATTTCTATGGTGAGTTACGGAGGAGAAAGAGGGGTGTATAGCGGCTAGCTGGGGAGTGCTTTTTATGGTTTGCTTCGATCAACTGAACAGAGAAACCATCTCACCTGAGGACCAAATATTGAGCATCGAACCTTGAGTATTTATTTATCTTTTTTACTTTCAGAGAGTTTCATTCATGTTTTTCTCTTTTCCAATGAATTGCTTTTTTCTGAATAACATTACTCTAGTTATTTGGTTTGTGCTTTTGGACAAAGCACTGGATAAGGCTTAGGATACACATTTTAGAGGATGACCACGGATGATGGTTTCCACCATTTTAATCATTTGTGGCCACTTGTCAGAGACCCTGGAGAGCTTTGAGACTTGCCTGGAATTTCTGGAGCTGCTCATTGAAGGTGGGCAGATGGTGAGCCTGCTCCAGCTGGGGGGGCTGCTGCTCCAGGTGGGAGAGCTGGTTGTCCAGGTCCGAGAAGCTCTTCACCGCCGGCTCAGGCTTGTTGTTTTCAAAGAGCTGGCGAGCCTTGGCCTTGGTGGTGCTCTCCAGGTCGGACCAGCACTCTCTGATCTCCACCAGCTTCTGCTGGACCACCGAACGCAGCTCGGGCTTCTCCTGGATCAGTTCCTGACCCTCCTGGAGTTAGAAAATGAACTGATGTCAAAGCACTGATCAAACCACCAATCTAAGTCACTATGTATTTTCTATGTATCTGATTTAAAAATATACATGATATGTTGGACTGTTATTTCTTGGCTGAGTGGCTGTACGCTCTCCCTCGACTCTAAAATGTCAGCTTCTGCTTCGAGCCACGGTTCCTATGGGCTGAGATGATTGTTGCTTCACTTGGTACCAGAAATCAGTGAACTGCATCCATTTTCCACCATTTTAGAATTCTAGCACAAAGATCTCTAAATCAAAAAGTATTAATTTAAATCTAAAAAAATGACATTTTTTAAATGAAAGCCCTATTGCAAATCTCCACACACATATGAACACATGCCATTCTGATGAATGATCTTGTTTTATATTTATTATTTTATTGCATAAAGGCAATGTTGAAATCACATTTACTCGTGCTGAAATTGAGTGGCTAAATTCAGTTTTGTCCCTAACATAGCTCGTCAGAGAGGCAGGTGTATGGAGCAAAGTTTGGCCTGACCTAAAAATCATGCACGGTAATTCGAATAAACTGTCCTGTACTCTTCTGCCCCTCCTCCCTCCCCTAAATCTAGGGCTAAATCATGACGTGATTTGTTGAGGAGATTCTGCTCAAGGCTTGTCAATGAAACTGCACTGAAAAAACTGAAACATTGACTTTAATTAAATGTATTTTGTCAACAGATTTTACATAACTGTATTAGTTTAGTTGAAAGCAATTATATTACGTTTTAATGCAAAATATTAGGTTCAACTTAATATTATTGGTTTCAACTAAACTAATACAGTTATGTGAAATCTGTTGAGACATTTAATTAAAGGCAACGTTTCAGTTTTTTTCGTGTGTTCTCTTAAATCGATTATAGTCACACCTTCACGACTCTTTTCAGATTTGGTCTATTGGAAGATTATTTTAGAAATGTTTCTTTCACACATGATAGTTAATGATGTAATCATTATTTCCTTGTATTGTCACAACAACCATGCACATGATGGATTGTATCCTTTACATTGTGCTTCCCTCCTTTATCTCTCACAGGGAGCTGGACCTATATCCTATGGCTCTCATAATGCAGTGCTGCATTCCTCCTCTTGGCACAGGCTCTCTGCTTAACTGCTGCTAGCGCTCACTCTCTCTCAGCCTCTCCTATCTTTCCTCAGCCTCGCTCTGCCTCTCATAATGCAGAGCCAGCAGAAAGCAGGTCTCTCTCTCTCCTCTCTTGGCTTTACTGACACACAGTGAGGCAGAGGGAGAACAAATCAGAGAGGGGGTGGAGAGAGGAGAGGGGAGAGGCAGCGTAAAGGAAGAAGCAAAAGGAGAAAGAATCAAAGGTTGGTGGAACAGGAGCGAGGCTGTGTGTGTGCTGGGCAGCCTGTGCGCGGTTGGATCCAAAGGGCATCTGTGAAGTGGATTTTTGAGGCGATCACGGCTGGCGATATTATAATGCCGAGCAAATAATGGATCATGCTATTATAGAAGCATCGTGTTGCCAAATTCTGCAGGCTTTCTTGTAATGCTGATGCAGCAGAGTGTAAGGTGGGTGGAATAAAGGGCTTGGTTTATACTACTGGCTCAAACAACAATGAATTCACTCCCACTGAATTCATAAAAGTAACACTATGCAACTTATGCTTTTAACCATTCAAAGAGTCATAATGCTGCAAATAAGACCAAATGCAGCTTCAAACCAACCCACAATGCAATACTAACACAGTGCATAGAGTGGTGCAGTGATGATGTGTTTTTGTAGACCCGGAAGTTAGCATCGCAAGTGCTCCCTTAATCAAAACCAATGTGATCTCCACTCTGGATTTCGGTATATTGCAGAAAATAAAATATTTTGCAAACATACATTTATGATACTTATGTTTTGTTCAGCAGGATAATCTCCGCATATCAAATATTACTTTGTAATTTTTGAAGCGCAAGTGCATTTGGCAGAAAAAAGAGCTAACGGTAGGCTACAAACGAAATATACTACGACCACATGGCAACGCATCAACAACGCTAAGCTAAAGTTGGACTTGTGTCGGTGTGAAGACGTTTTGTAGTTTATTTAGTCACTTTTTAGCAACCGCTGTATTTATGACACGTACAAGCTTTGGAAATTCATGAGTGGAACTTTCACTAACGTATTTTCTGCCAAGGGCTATGTGAGTAGCTTCAATGCTACGATACAGCGGAACATGATTTTTAAAAGGAAAGAAGACTGATGTTCATGTGAAAATAATGATTATGCCTAACAAACAAAGACCATGTAAGTTACGCTGCTTATTTAGCATCTAATGCCAAAGTGCTCATATGTTCTGAACTTTCAAAAATATGTTAAACCAAAAGGCAAACTATAAATATCCCGTACATTTTTATAAAATGATCAAATAAAGTCAACATTTCACTGTGTTAACTGAGTTGTGTGCTGTTTCTTAAGCAGTTTTTTTAACATGACATGTTCAAATTCTGATAAATATAATAATTTTAATAGGGATTCACAAGCAACCATTTCCTTTCATTATACCTATTTAATTCAATTTCCACCGACTGAAGGTATATTTCTTGTTGTTGCCCACATTTATAAATCTCATTATGTAGTTCATTAATAGTGCAGTGCAAATATATTTCAAGCTGTGAACAGCTTTACACATTGCTGTTTTATAACATGATCATGACATGACATTTACTGTATAACTGGCAGTGTTTCAAATCATCTGCCACTTTGAACATTTCCTTAGTCATGTATTTATATCATTCTTTAATTATGACTTGTATTCCTTTTTTCCCCTAAAACAACTGCACCATCAGCCCAACATATTATTCTACAGCTCTACAGACTTGGAGGGAACGTAACACTTGTATATGTCTGTCTGTGCAATATCTTTTTTACTCTGTTTTACCTGCCCAAAATATTAATCGCCATTGTGGATTAATAAAGTTGAATTGAAACAAATCGAATTGAATTAAAAATGAAGAGCAAATACAGATGACAAGGTTTCACATTTAACTTAAATGGTGATGTTTGTATGGAACAGAATGTCCTAATCTAAAGCAAGCACAGTTGTTTTTTTACCTTATTAAAAAATATTGATTACATTTGTACCTTTGTCCATTTTTTTACTTCATTGACCAGGTCGATAATAGTCTAATATAATAACCCATACACGACAGCCATACAGACACTAAAGAACTGGTTGGAAGGTTTTAAAATGGAGTGTGGAACATTTGTCTCCCCCCTTTGGCAGAGAGAGAAATCACAATATGTCAAAACATCTTGCTTTACTATTTGATTGATTTTAAACAAACAATACTCCTTCATATTCATGAATTTCAGTAAATGGAACATTTATCGCCATATTCACACGATAAATACATTTTCAAGTTTGTAAAGTTGGGATTGCAACCGCCTCCTTCCCGACATCTCCCCGGTTCAATGAATGTCAGACCCATAGTAACACAGCAGGGGTTTTTACTCTAATTTTAAATAAAAACAAAGTCTTGTCTTTCGGAATATGAACTTATTGTGAGCAAATCCAGGTGATAAATACAGCTTTGAAGCTTTTAAAGGTATAATGACAAGTGGCAAATGGAACAACTCAATGACACAGTCATCACAATATGTGTTGTGTGTGTGTGAGTGTGTGTGTGTGTGTGTGTGTGTGTGTGTGTGTGTGTGTGTGTTCCTCAGCAAATAAACACACACACACACACACCATCTTCCTATTTAATACAATGGATGGATCCCCCATGGACAATAAGGTGCTGTTTTCACCAACAATTGTCCCAAAATAGGGGACATTTTTGATTGTAAATTAGAAGGTGTGTTGTGGAACCCTTACAATCACATGTGGATAGTCTGAGGCCCAGACTGCCTCTGATGTATTTACTTATCTAAAAACGTGCAGAGACATGCAACTAAAGATATCTGCTTATTGGATGATATTTCTTCTATTTTAATATTGTCTATTTTCCCTGCTGTTGCTTGGATTTTCATGTGCCAAATGGCACTGGTTTCAATTATTTGTTTATGCCAATTCTGTTTAATTTAACACATTTTGATGAGCAAGGGTGTGCACAAGGACAAGGGTGTGCACAAGGACAAGCCTGTGCTCAAAATAGATAACCAGAAGTGCACAAGTTAGACTTAAATTGTATATTGATGCCCATTCGTGGGTATGGACGCCAACTTCGCGGGTGCACATAAGCATTTGCTCAAAAATACAAAGTTAAAGTATATCAGCAAAGTCAACATTTTCCTTCAATTTTTTCATTGATAGGTGTGCACGTGGGAATTGATGTGCATGTGTATATGTGAGTGCCCCATACTAGTACTTCTTAAAGCCAAGATACCATCAAAGTGGGCTAACAACATTTCTTAATCCTATATCACTTTGATTCCCCAACTGTTGTACATCACTGAGGGTAAGACACTTTAGCTAGGTGGTACACAAGACCCCACTGAAAGGCCTTACAATTGCCCTTTGACTGGTCCAAGTCCTAAACTAAAGACCAAAAAAAGGGGTCATATTATATAATACCTTAAGGACTGAAGGTCTATACAGTATATGTGTTACTGAGTTCCCATCCATTATCATGACAACCTTTCCACCAATGGTATTTCGTTTTTAGTGTGTGCTAAGGACAAGAGGCAGTGCATTTGTGAGGTCATTTGGATCACTGATTCTGTAGAAAACTGCAAACCCCAGTCCATCTGCACTGAGACCCCGGTCTGTATCAACACAATTCCATTCAAAGAAACAAGAACATAACAATATTGCTCTCATTACAAACCAAATGTACCGGTGAAATACGATTCACCGTATTCAAAGAGCATTGATTAGATTAGAATCTTTAATGACCACACAGCCAGGCTGGTGGAATTCGTGTTCAGTGCAGAGTATTACAGCTTGTTCCATACAATTCAACATACAATAAACAATAAAAAGTACAACACACAGCACAGGGCAAAGACAAACATCATGACATATATATCCTTCTTATTCTATGAAAATGCTACCCAATACACAGCCACAGAGAGGTCGAGTGGGTTAATGTACCCTCAAGGTATAATAGCTCAGGGAGATGCCTGTTTCCGGGCCCATAGCTTCCTGAAAATATGTCCCCCTGAACATTACAGTTAAAGGGGCCCTATTTTCAAATCTTCAGGTTTGTATTTAATGTCTCTACTGTGACATGTCTGCATGCTTTCATGTTCAAAAAGCTCTTTATTGTTCTCATACCGCCTTGCTGCAGCACCTCTTTTCACCCTCTGTCTGAAACCAGAGCCCAGTCTGCTCTGATTGGCTAGCCTGTATATTGTCTGAACAGTTTAGAAACCTCTGCTATAGTAAATATAATTTAATTCATTATGGCAATTTGACTGCAAAATTGGCGGTTAAATAATCCGTTACACATATGAGCAATAAGATGAAACATGCTTGGCAGTAGGTTATGAGCTCACACTAGAACAGCATGAACACTTTGATAACAACACACTTAACACCATTTCACAGTGTGATATTATTGTGGCAAATAAATTACAGGAGAAATTCATTTATTCATTTTTATACCGATCAAATAATCGTTAGTTTGAAGAAAAACTCGATAACCCTGTAATCATATGTAGTCTAGTGCTTAAAATAGCCAAACAGACAGGGTGGTAAAGTTACGAGAGTTTAAATCTCTTTCACAGAACACATTTTCACGTTTTGTGTTGGTGACATTAAATAGAGCATACTATGCTCATTTTCAGGTTCATGTTTGTATTTAGTACCTCTACTGTGACATTGTTGTTCTCACTGTAACATGTCAAAATGTCTTCAGTAAAATAACGTTTTCTGAGAGATGCATTTATAGTTTTTTTTCTATTGTATTTTTGATCATGACATGTATTGACAACAAACATACATTGACAAATATGCCAAATATATTTATTAAGTGAAATAAAGTCATCATGTCTTGGTAAAATTCTACCTGCCAAAAACAAAGTAGAAGGTAAAGAGTAATGTATCATTTTAATGTTTTTGTTATTTTTCCTTGAGCCAGGGTTATTTCCCCTTTGACCCTCACCTGATTGGGGCCTGGATGATCCCAATCATTGTTAAATGTATTAGGTACCAGCCCCTAGACAGACATCTAAGTGATATAGTGCCAATATGTTAATATGCAAATAGTGTGTATTCATTAGTCTGTCACTAAACTATGTGCTCCAGCTGGCTCATGTTTTTCTCTGTGTGCTGATCCCTGAGCCTAAGGCTTGGCACAAGGTCAGCTGTGAGTCCTCTCACTGTAACAGAGAAGCTCCCACAGATCCTCCACACACCAGGCGGCATGGACCTGTGTGCAAGGCTTTATGTGCTGAGTAAGTACTGAGAGAACAGAGGAGAGCGGCCGAGGCAGGAACCCTTCCAAAAGGACGCAGAGTTCTCTGATCGCGGCGTCATCTTTTCTGTCTCTCAGGTAACGGCAGAGAGAGATAGGGGGAGATTGAGTGATGTTAGCAGGGCTATGGAGACATGAGGGTATATGTAACTGTCTGTACTGAGCTACATGCATTTTTGGAGAGAGAGAAAACTCCTATGGAGCAGCCATCTTCTGCACTCAGTGTGAATCCTTTCAGTTCATTAATCTGGAGTTTGGCACGGTTATACACATTTGCTGATGATTCAGAAGTAGAACGGTATCCTGTTTCAGTCCGCTTTTATTTCAAGCTGAGATGTCATCCTAGCTCTACATGTCATGTGATCATTACTGTTGTGATAAACAGAACATTAACTGTTTATTATTTCATAAAATAGTCAAATGTGTTTGACACGTTTGGCAACTGGTAATGTCTCATGGTTGTGGTGGCAATGTGGACGCCACCATTCAATACAACTGTCAATGGTTCCATTCCGCTCCAGGAGCTTTGTTGCTTTTTGTACCCTTACCGAAGTCATTTGTGTTCTTCTAAGACCTACATCTATTCAGTTACAATGATAAGAAATACAATACAAAAAAAACGGAGAAAAGCAGATCACTGCATTTAAAAGCTAGAACTAGAGATTGGTTACATTTTTTGCTTGAAAATGGCAGAAGCCTAAACAATTCAGCGATAATCAAAACATTGCAGCTTACTCTTCTGTCAATCGAGTAATCAATACATCCCTAAATCCTTTTTTTAAGCACTACATTGTAGAATCCGAAAGAAAAAAGAGTTTGTAAAAGCTAAAACCTCATTTGGTTTGATTCCAACATGGCAGTATTTTACAAACATGGCCGCACAGCTTCAGGGACTAAACCTAGGAACCAGGAAACCTTCTACCACGACAAACCTTGAAATACATTTCACACATGGACAACCCATGGTTAATGAGGATTTCCTCTTTAGGTAATGTATTGGGCTTGCCTTCATAGGCCATGGTTATAATTAGTTACACTGCTATCTAATGAATATTTAATAATAGGCCTAGTGTATAAAATGAATGTGTAAAAAATCTATACAGTCTAATGAATTTCTTAATGTATTCAATACAAAAATTAATAATTAAAACACTTGGAAATGTCAACAAAACCTCTCGGTATTATTAGAGATGTAAATACATTTCAGCAAGGTCAAAGTCTGATAAATCTCACCCACACAGCCATCCCATCATTCAGCATTTTCTTCTATTGTTTGTCCATGAACCTCTTGTCAGGTATTTTAGTCACAGTGATTGCCATAGTGGTAGAGCACTCCTTTACTTGTAGGTTTTCAGTACAAGTAAGAAAACATTGCTGACAGGACACACTTTACACAATCATTCTTTGTGATTGTGATTTTTAAAATAAGAAATAGCAGAATTATGAGATTAGAAAACAGGTTTGTAGGTGTCTTATGTCTTGTGCTTGGAGGCTGAATGCAACAGAGCAGTCCTAATCTAAATCCCATTTACCTCTGATATCTCATCAATCTGAATCAATTATTAAACAGCACACACCTTAGATCAGCAATTTTGTATGAATAGTTTAGAAGCAAAGGTTTCTAAGAATGTTACCATGTGCTGGACATAACAGTTAAATCACACATTATTACACAATGCATGTTTCTACATTAAGAAACATTTGGGTTTTTGAAAATATGTGTACAATTAAATAAAAAATTGTTTTCCCTACATGACCTCCTCATCAGGAATTTCACACGTGACTGAAATATTAAACACATTTTTCGAAAAGAATAGCAACAGTATATTTGTGGTTTGAATTGGCCAGATGCAACATGCCATTAGCAGAAATGGAGTCTCATTGACTAATTCATATCTCACCTCAGCTTCACTGAGGCAGAGGGCATGGAGAACATTCTGTGTGGATGGAATGGTGCTCTGTCTTGGAAGCAAAGCATGTTGGGAATCTGGGGCAATAAAATCCAATCTGAGAATGTTTTCATGATGTGAACTGCCTTTACGTATGTCCCTAACAGATACCATGTGTAGATACATGGGGAAAAGAGGAATCTGCTATCCATGTATGGCCTTTTCTGCTGCAACGATTTCAGTGTCCTCTATATGATTAACTGTAACCTCCATAACTGAGCAATGAAAATCATGTGGCCTAACGTCTGTGCAGAGAGAGCAAAGATCTACAGGGATCCTGCCACCTGTGAACCTGAACACACAGCCACTATAGCAATATAACCTTGAGAATGTAATTCAGGATGTAATTCAGGATGTCCCCGAGCTGAGTGATGACATCTCTCCCACTTTTCCCTATATATATATATTACTGCCACCACACCCACTGTTATTCATGTCCCCCCCCCCCCCCCCCCCTCCCCACCGACTCACCTGCCTATCTGACCTCCCCGTCCCTCCATCCTTCCATCATGGTGCCCTGATCACCTCTACTCACCTGTTCTATCTTGGCGAGCCATTCCTTATTGCGGGCCAGTTCCGCCATAAAGGCCTGGTGCTTCAGCCACTTCCTGTGAAGCTTTTGAGCCTCATCCCGCGCCGTGTCTCGGGCCATAAGCATCTTCTCTTCCACCCGCTGTCCCAATCACTCAGCTAGGGGAGACAAAAATAGCCACCATCAGGAGTCCAACGCTCGAGCCAGCCCTTCTTCCCCTCTTTCCCACAGGACGTCCTGCCTGCCTCCAGTACGCAAGAGCCCCCCGCTCTGCTCTGCAGGGGCCTGGCTACCTGTGCTATCACCACCCACCCCAACCCCCACCAGACACCCTTTTCTGTAGAGAAAAAAAAAATCAAGATAAGCACCTCAGCAGCAGTGGTAGCAATTGAAGCACTCAAGCCCTTCCTTTGGGTTGCCCCTGGGTCCTCATGCCCTACTACTTCATGGGTCTTGCGGTCCTGATGCTGCAGTGCCTGCTAGCCAGTCTCAGAGAAGGCAAAAACAACCAGCGAAATAGAGGAAATGCGCCAATGACAACACTGGTACAGAATGACACACACCTCCAAGATTCTTCTCGGGTTGTGGGTTATCTTCTAGCTACAAATGACGATTACAATCCAGCTATCAGTGAAGGTGTAGATGTAGCATAGCCACAGAAGAATCTTTCAGCCGGGGCAAAACCTGACCATCCACCACTCGCCAGTCCCAGTCAATCTGTAGTCCGGGCTAATGATGCTGTAGACAGGAGGAGGAGGAAGAGTTGGAGTGGGAGGAGCAGGGTGAATGGGATGCAGAGGCAGTGCAGAGGAGGCCGGATAACATAAGCTATCCACTCGTGAAATGCATGGTTCCTTCCGCTGCAAAGATGTACGTGCAGGCGGCTGTGAGATAGACACTATTTTCTCTCCTCAGTTCCCCTTCCTCGTGTCCCCGAACAGCTCAGGCGCGCTTGGTGCATGCTGCTGCAGTCCTTGCCTCTCAGCTACACTCCTGTGTGTGCGTGTGTGCTTGCGTGAGTGTGTGTGTGTGCAATCACAATCAGCACTGCAGTGCCGGAGCAGAGAGAGAGAGAGAGAGAGAGAGGAGGAGACAGAGAGAGAGAGAGAGAGAGAGAGAGGAGAGAGAGAGAGAGAGAGAGAGAGAGAGAGGACGAGAGAGAGAGAGAGAGAGAGAGAGAGAGAGAGAGGGGGGGGGGAGCGAGAAGGAGGGGAGAGAGGGGGGAGACAGCAAGGGAAGAGGTAGACAGGTTAGAGGAAATGGAGAAAGGGGGAGCGCCATGCAGAGCAAAAAGAAGAAGAAGGGAGCGCAAGTCAAAAGAGGGAAAATATGGGGTTGGTGGGGGGGTAGTAAAACAGAGAAAGGAAGAGAGAGCCTGCGTCATCCCTCAGTGTCACCAGGGACATTTCTCTGCACTAGAAATGACTGCACTCAGAGCGGGAGCGGGATTTGGGAAGGAGGGGGAGGTGTCGTTTAAAACAGCTGAATGAGAAGGATGCACACATGCTCCACGGTGCAGCTGACTGATTCGGATCACTGTTCACGCTTCCTCTTTGAGGGGACCTGCATGTGATCCTGCTGCTGCAGAGATGTCACTCGGGTGAAGAGGATGCACACATTTTAACCGTGTACTCTGGCTAATGCTGCTCCCAGATCTGAATTATAGATAAGCAGGACAAAAAGATTTGTTCTGGGTTCATTTCTCATTTTTGACTGAGCATGTGCTGCAGCATTGAATTTGTATTTATTTATATTCTGTTTGTCTCAGTTTTATCAAATTCGATCATCCTCAGAATCCAGAGGAGATTAAAGTTGCATGAGTAACAGAGTGAAGTGCAGCACTACCATTAACCACCATGTTGTGTTTTTCAAGTTGGTTGTGTATTCTTTTTGTGATAGTTCAGAATTGAATAGACTAGTCAGGTGCCCATTTTGAAATGGCCGATTGCTTTGCTACAACTCTTCCAAGTTGTAGCATTGGGGACTTGATCGTTTGGAGTGCATTGCCATTGGGAATACATCGGTATGGTTGTTTGCAACTGCTAAATGTGTAGTGGATTGTATACACGGTTCTCAAGATATGTGGCGGACAAACATACACAGACATCTGCTGGACCATCACCGATTTGCAAATAGTAACCAGAATAAGTCCAGAATATCTACACATTTACACCAGATGTGGTCACAATAGCAAGAATTGTAAGGAGAAATAACATTTTTTGTAATGTCAGCCCTGTCCACAGTATTTCAGCCAACAAATATGAAAAAGCGACTTCACTAATACATCTGGTGATGAAAAATATGATATACATAACATAACACACTATTGAAACCGGAGCAATACAACTGCCAAGTGTAACGCCAATCAGATCAACTGTTCTCGAGATATGATAAGGATAAACCCACAGACAGACAGAGAAAACGTCCTTCCTTTATAGTTACATTAGTGCAGCTCCTGTGCAAAACATGCCTGTCCAGAACGGGCCGGATACATGACCTCTGGTATTGCTGCTCGCAGCCATTCCAAGAAATGCTCAAGCAGGCAACAATTTCAATACACCTGCCATCATGATGTTGTTGCGTCACACAGAGCGTGAATTAGATTAGAAATTGTTTTTTGCTTTACATCCAGCATCCATGTAAGGTTACTTATCCAAGATTTAACTATGAGTTGCACACTGTAAAAGGACTACTGCAGATGACATGCTAAAGTCTGCAGAGCCCTGAAGTTTAGAAATATTAACATGTTGCCTGTCCTAATTGCAACAAAGGTAATAAAGCCCAGCAGTACAACAGCCAAGTATAAATATGTGAGGAAGGTGTTAAGTGTTGTAACTTAGACAGCATATGTTGCAAGATGTTCTTATACACTGTTCATAGCTAAACCTTTCTAAAATCAATGCACTCACTCAATCAATGATTTGTGTATATATCATGAAATTATTTGTATGTATTGCATGAAATTGTCAACCGGGGGTTAAGTATTTGCACGAAGAACAATGCACAAAAAACTCAAATGTGTTTGAACACCCTGAGAGGTTTGAGAGGCTTATGTACATACCTAATAATACAAAGATTTTTGGAAAATTATTTGTTCTTTCATTTTTGCATTTTCTCACTACAATAAAGACTCAATAAAGACACGCCCAAAACACTAACGTTCGGGGAAATGCGCTGAACTTTCAAAAAACATGCAAATATAAAAACACAACTGTGCCAAACCACATGCAAATTAAGATATCTTCTCCAATTTGACAACATGTGTGCAGCATTTAAAAAACATTCACCAACGTGATGAAACATGCGCAGCCACAGCTAAAAACGCTGCATAAACGAAACGCTGCAAACACAAAGCGCTGCAGATAAAAAAATGCTGCAAGAAAGCTCAAAACACACGGAAACAGGGACACTAAAAAGTGATGCACACAGTTGGGACAGGAGCACTTGACGTTCAAGGATTATAAAGTTGGCCAACAATCATTGTCACTGGAAAGTTAAAGGATGGAACCATGGATGAACAAAGATAACTGGATACAGCGGATGCTCAGTGCCACATAAAGCTAAAATGGACACTAGAAAAAATACCTGTATGTTCCAGGGATCTTCCGGCAGTTGGTTCCATTTAGTCCACTTAAGTTTTCCTTAAGTCCTTCATCCAATCCGCTCCGTCATTGGCAGCGTCACTGCTGGTCATGGTTTGCAGTCGTCTCCCAATGGGAAAAAGTATCTTCAGGTCAATGATGTCATGTGTCAGACACAGAAATTGTTAGACCATTGTTAGGCTCTTACGGAAATTTGCTTTAGCATTTAGCTCACTTCCTGGGGGCCTGGGTAGAACATTAAAATGACGCACGAAATGTCTCTTATGAGAACGCACAAAGAGCCTGATGAAAAAACTGGATAGATAGTAACTTGGTAAATCACCATTGTAGTACAGGTTATCCCTTGGTAGGGTTATAGCGACAGGACTCGATGGTATAGAAAACAGGTTCATAAAACTGGCGTCCCATATTCTCATGTACCCACTTGCTGATTTGTTCAACCTGTCTTTGTCCACCTGTGAGTTGCCGACTATTTGGAAATGTGCACGCATCATTCCACTGCATAAAGGTGGTGATTTACTTGATACAAATAATTATAGACCAATCTCTATAATCTGCTCTATTTCCAAAGTTTTGGAGAAAATAATTTATAACCAACTGTCACATTATCTCAATACTTATAATATTTTATCTCCGGTTCAATCTGGTTTCAGGCCTAATCACTCCACAACAACTGCCCTACTTAAATGTACGAATGACTTGTACTCTGCTGCAGATGATGGTGAACTCACAGGTGCCATTTTTATTGACTTGACAAAAGCCTTTGATTTCATTGATCGATATCTGCTCTTGGATAAACGTCACGGCATTGGCCTTTCTAATAATACAGTGTTATGGTTTAACTCGTACCTTCACAGTAGAAAGCAATGTGTGGTTGTTAATGGAAAACAGTCTGACCTGTTGATCCAACAAAAGGGTGTACCCCAAGGATCAACTCTGGGCCCACTTCTGTTCTCTATTTACATAAATGATTTATCTTCTTGTCTCATTAATTGTTGTACTTACCTTTATGCTGATGACACTGTCAGATATACATCCAAATCAGATTTTTCACAAATTCAGATCTCTCTTCAATCGGATTTTAATATCTTACAGGACTGGCTATCACACAATAAACTACTGCTTAACAAAACAAAATCGTATACCATGGTCTTTGGTACCAGGCAGAAGCTCAAATCCAAACCTAATGTAGTAATAACATGTAAGGATGGCACTTCTCTGCATAAAGTTAATAGCTTTAAATATCTTGGTGTATGGCTATACTCTGAACTTTCATTTGAACTACATATAAAGCATGTAATACAAAAAGTCAATTACGGAATCGGTGTACGAAACCGCTCTCGCAATTGTTTTACGCTCAGTGTCCGAAAGAGAATTGCTTCTCAACTTATTCTTCCGATTATGGACTATTGTGATGTTGTCTACCAAAATGCACATAAATCAGATCTTGCTCCACTCAACATAGCCTACAATAGACTATGCAGATTTGTTCTTGGTTGTCCTTTTCGTACACATCACTGCACAATGTATAACCAAATTAAATGGCCTTCTTTAATTAAATGTAAGAAGACACACGCATTGGCTTCAGCTGATATTTAAATGGATTTATCTTAACTATCCCCCTTATTTAAAGCAGTATTTTGTACCCTACTCACCAAATCATCAAGTTAGACATTCTGTTCAGATTTATTTCTCTGTCCCCTCTGCAAAAAAATGGATTGGCAGAAGAGCGTTCATTTTCAAAGCCCCAACAGACTGAAATACTTTACCTGCTGCTATTAGATCTCTTGCATCATTGGGTATGTTTAAACATGCATTATCATCTCACTTTCAACTGGTCTGTATTTGTTATTAATGAAACTGATATTGATGAAACTGATGTACTCGACTGTCTCTCAAATTGTAATGATTGTATGCATTGCTTGAATTTTACTTAACAGACTGTATGTGGTTTGTCTTGTGTGTCATGTTTTGCATTTTGTCTTTTTGTTTATGTATGTCTGTAAGTTGTTGCTATTGTCGGGACCCCCTTGAAAACGAGATGGTGCATCTCAAGGGGTTTATCCCAATGAATACAAATGTCTATATATAGTTTTGTTTCGAGCGAGCTAAGTCAAAGAAAACCTAGCTCTGTCAAACTTGCTTCCTGATACAGTCCACAGGCCCTGATCCTCAAATGTAGCTTAACTCATTTGGGCCAACAAGCAGGCCTGAATATTCAATTTACAGACCCCTGGGCATAAATGTTTGATAAGCCCCGAAACAACATTGGTGGTCAGCTTTTCTCCTTTAATAAATCAGACAAAGGGACATGCGGTGGAGCCTCGGAGAGATTGAAATGCTCTCAATGCACTTCTTCACATTAACCTACTTGCCAACGGATGCAACCTTTACATAGGTTACATTGTTGTTATTCTTTTATATAAGCTGAGTGTGCATCGTAACACAAGAATTAC